AAATCTTTTTACCATTTTCTTGGAGCTTATTTTAGGTCATATAAAGATTTTTTCAACAAACACACTGTTTTTTTTGGATTTCTTTTAATAAATCCTAAGGGTTGTTTCATGTAGATCACTTCATCCAATTCACCATAAATGAATGCAGTTTTTACATCTAGTTGATCAAGATTTCATTTAAATTGCACAACCAAAGCAATAATGCATCTTATTGTTGTATATTTAGCTACGGGAGGAAAAATCTCATCATAGTCCACACCCTCTTTTTGTGTGTAACCATTGGCAACAAGCCAAACTTTGTATCTAACCTTATTAGTGCCCGATTCCCATTCCTTTATTTTATAAATTCATTTACAGTCAACTAATTTCTGATCTTTAGGTTTATCTACTAATTCCCATATTTTATTCTTATACAAGGAAGACATTTCTTTTTCCATGGCAGCCAATCACTTTTTGGAGTCTTTGGACTTTATAGCTTCATAATAGGAACTAGACTCAGATTGTATTTCTTCTGGTAAGTGAATAAAGACACAAAATCATTACTATTGAACCTAGTAGGTGGTCTAATTTGCCTCATCTCTCTATCTCTAGTAAGTTGATATTCATCTTGTGGTGCATCTATGCCATCATATTGCTCAGGTTCAACCAAATCAAACTTATTTTCATTCAGGTCAGCCTCAGTAGTTGCTGATTCTAAGGGGATAGAACTGGTATTATTAATTTTAACATGCTCCACCTCAATTTGGACATCATTTTCAGTTAAATTCCCTTTCTTCCCTTCCAAACACGGCATATATAACTCATTAAAAATCACCCCCTTCTAATGATAACCCTGTAACTTTTTTTCCTCATAAATCCACAGCTTGTACCCTTCTACATTTCAGCGTAGCCCAAAAATACACACTTAAGTGATCTAGGTTCAAGTTTTCCAATGTTTCGATGAGCATATGCAGCACAACCAAAAGTTTTCAAATAAGAGTACATAACAGGCTTTTGTGTCCACACAGATTCAAGCACATCAAAGTTTAAAACATTTGTATGACTTCTATTAATTAAATATGCAACAATTTTAACAGCCTCACTCCAAAATAGTTTGGGTAGGCTTGAACTTAAAAGCATGAATCTAACCTTATATAATAAAGTCCTATTCATTCTTTTTGCAATGCCATTTTGTTGGGGTGTATGTGTTATAGTTCTATGTCTTAAAATGCCATACAATACGCAGAAATCATTAAACTCATAATTGCAAAATTCTAGGCCATTGTCTGTTCTTAATGTCTTAATTTTTAAATCAATTTGATTTTCAATTTGGGTTTTCCAATTTTTAAATGTAGCAAATGTTTTATCTTTAGTTTTCAACAACAAAACCCAAATTTTTCTTGAAAAATCATCAACAATCAGCTAGTAATACTTGTAGCCAGATAATGTAGGTGTGGATGGAAGGTCCCACAAATGAAAATGTAAATATTTTAAAATTTGCTTTGATCTATGAGTACTAGTGGGAAAGGGCAATTTGAGTTGTTTTCCAATCAAATGTTGTTCACAACTTGGTAGTTCACCAATATTTGATTTTCCAAATACGCATTTATTTTGAAGTGTTTTTAGACCTTTCATCCCAATGTGACCAAGTCTACTTGTTGCAGCTGGCCGAGCTCAATGGAGAACCAACAGTTTCTTGAATGCTAGTTACTGGTCCAAGTTCACTCGGCTACTTGAGCTGGGAAAAAAGTTTTGTTCAGGAAATGGAGTAATTTTTGTTTGCTTAATTCGAGCAATTAGTTAGTAAATAAATCAGAAGCAAATACTAGCAAGTCCGATGAGTAAGAAGACTGTATATAGAAAGGCATTTGCAAGAAGAGCAAAAGATGCGTCTACAATCTAAAAAAAGAGTGGATAGGTGGAAATATTTGGTTCTCAATTTGTCATTTTAAATTTTGGTCAACATACCCTTTATTCAATAATTTTAACAGTCATTCATAACATTATTTTATTATCTACAATAATAATAAAAATTTACAACATATAAAAGGTGTAAATAAGTAAAAAGTATTCGTTCTTTTATTTTGTCCTAACATTTTTCATTAATATATTGTCTACATTACTCATGTAATAGAAGTCGAACAAAACATTCTTGAACATATTTAAACATTTGTCATATATTTTTAGGAAAAATTGCAGCCGAGATACCAAATCTTTCGTTTATTAGCAGACTTTACCCAAACTTTTCATTTGTGCCACCGGAGGTACCAAACCTTTCAAAAATCCGTACCCGAAGTCCAAGTGGATGGAAACCTTCTATTTGACCATTAGTTGACCAAGAAAACTAAATTTTGACCTATTTTGATCAAATTGGAATGGATAAAATGGTAACTTGATAATTACTATATTAAATAAATTGAACAAAAAAATCAAAAAATTAAGAAAAAATCAAAAAATTAAGAAAAGAAATTAAAAAAGGGTTGTCTTCTTCAACCTCCCCACCCCCATCGCACCCCCCTCCACCCCACCATCTTTGTCCCTAAACCAGCCACCAGCACCATCACCTATCACCACCACCGGCAAGAAACCAATCGCACACCACTGCCGACAACAACTCTTTCTCACACTCATTACCAAAAATCCATTACAAAATTGAACAAATTTTTCCAAAACCGACCAAATTATTCGAGTTCATGTCACTGACCGCCCATGGATTTTACAACCTCGCAATGACCCTAACCAATCCACAGCTAACCAAAGTGGAAGTCGACTCATCATCCAATAATAACACCAAAAAATGCACTTGTCATATTCAATACGACACAAGTGCAAGAACGACAATACCATTAAGAAGCATTTGGACCCATAAAGTCAGGAATTGAGGCAGGACATGAACTGAATTTTCACATAGAGAAGGCTGAAGAGGGAGAAAAGGCAAATTAAGCGGTAGATTATGGGGCCATTTTTTGTTTCTAGTAAAAAAAGATGATAATTGAGGACTCATTTTGGAGAAAATTATATTCGATAAATTCTGGAACTCTCCGAATCTGGTTTTTTTTTTTTTTTGTTGTTGTTGAAAGTCATCCCAAGAAAGAAATACAAAGATGGTGGGGCTGGGGTGGGGAGGTTGAAGAAGACAACCCTTTTTTAATTTCTTTTCTTAATTTTTTGATTTTTTTTGTTCAATTTATTTAATATGATAATTATTAAGTTACCATTTCACCCATTCCAATTTGGTCAAAATTTACTTTTCTTGGTCAACTAACGGTCAAATGGACGGTTTCCATCCATTTGGACTTCGGGTGCGAATTTTTGAAAGGTTTGGTACCTCGGTGGCACAAATGAAAAGTTTGGGCAAAGTCTGCTAATAAACGAAAGGTTTGATACCTTGGCCGCAATTTCCCTTTTTTTTTAGTGTACTCTTATTTATAAAAATAAAAAACCTTTGAGCTAATGAATTGAAAGAATTTAACACATTTCCTTCACATCTATTTAATTACAAAAGAATTCTCTTGGTTTGAGTTTGAAATTTTTTTGAATTACCTAAAATGAATCGATCATGTAATTGACATTAAATTATATACTTCACATCGCGTTCTATCCATTCTAATCTGACATTTTTCTAAATGATTTTAGAAAAAAAAAAATGTAATCAGTCTCATCCTTGAAAAATAATTACCATCTACAAGGAGGATGCTATCATTTTCGTAAGTTTGTCTATATAAAGAGAGAATAGATAGATACCGAATCTATGATGAATAGAAAGCAAACAGATTACATAAGCTGACTGAGAAGGCACCGTTTTTCTGAATAAATCCATGGATGCATTTGTTCAGCAGATATAAATAGCGAAGACTTTTACAGATATTTCCAGCCCATACACCATTTTTTCTAACTCTAACAATCCTTTACATCATCGTATTGAATCTCCAACTTTTAAATTTGAATAAATTTCCATACTGATTATAGATAAAATAAATAACCAAGATATAAAAATTTGGATTATTCTTCTCAATATTAACAAGATTTAAAAAAAAAAAAAAAGAGATTTATAATATGTTGGCAGTATTTTTAAATTATGAGTGCAACAAAATATGTTGATAGCAAGTGGGAAGTAGCCGTGAATCTATGAATGCCCTTAATATTCAATAATTTAATTATTGATGCAATATATGTTTATTATTTTGATAAGAAATAATTTATATTTGTAAATCTTTTGCGTTACAAATATATATAAGTTATCTATAGTTTGATCTTAATTGAACTATTTGATGACAAGGCATAGAAAATTGAAAGGGTAATTATATTCACTTAGTATATCCCATTTTTATTGCAATTAAAGTTTCAATCCTTGCTCAATTTTGCACTTATGGTTTTCAACTTTTTCCTTGTATTTTATTTTTATTTTATTTTTTATTTTTTATCATCAACCTTTTTGTTGATTAGTACATCTCGTCTTTGAATACATTTTTAGTCCAACAAACCTATAAGAAGGGTGTAAAAAGACTTCTTGTCCCTTATATTCATAAATAAACAAAAAAATAAAAATAGAGACAAAAGTTCCACAAAGTATTTGTCATTTATTTGAATGCATGCTAATAAAACATTTGGACAGAAAATCATCTCTGATGATTAAATATGTTAATTAATTGAACGTTGAAGACGTGAATGAGATAAACAAAAATAAATAAATAATTTTGAAAACATAATTACAAAAAGAAGCAAATATTACATACTCTCATTGCAATAAAAACGCGATAGAGTAATATAATTACCCAAATTGAAAACATGTCGAAGCAAAATATAATTGCCTTTGCTTACAATTTTGTCCCCAAGTTTGAAAAAGTTGAAGAGCAAATACTATAATTAGTTGCCAAAATTTGCAGTTCCATTATTAAAAAAATATTATCCAGTATCCATTTTTACTTAATTTCTGATAAAATAAGATTAAATTTACACTGAAATTCAAGAAAAACTGAAAAGTCACACATTTCATCACCTCCTTCTGTGAATGGGCATTCCACTGTTGACTGTCTTCCTTTTCTGAATAGTCATGCAAATCTCGTACCATTCAAACGTTATTTTTACTCAGTTCAATCTACTCTGCAGAGCTTCACTACTCTCTTTTTTGTCTTTTTCTTCCTTCTTTTTCATGTTTTCTATGGATTTTCTTCTATAAATTCTCACTGAAATTTAGTTCAGAAAACTGTCTTCTCTTTGTTTCTCTCCTTGAAATCCTTCATGGCTAAATGCTCTGCTCTGCTTTTTTTCGTAGTTTTCTTTCAGTTTTTACTCATTTCATCTGAAACTGAGTTTGAGAAAATTCAAACTTTCATTGTTGGAGTTCAGAATGATTTGAAACCTTCTGCTTTTTCTGATGCTGAACAGTGGTATAAATCCACTCTTCGAAGCCTTAGTTCATATCCTCAATCCAGCCAAACAGAAAAAACCCAAGAATTTCTACATGTTTATAGAACAGTTTTCCATGGGTTTTCGGTTAAACTCACCCCAGAACAAGCCCAAGAACTCAAAAATCGTCGGGAAATTCTCGCTGTTTTACCAGACCGCCTGCGCCAATTACATATAACTCGGTCACCACGCTTTCTTGGATTGTCCTCAATCAACCCTTCTGAATTGTTAACGGAGTCCGACTCGGGCTCTAATGTCGTTATTGGGATCTTCGACACTGGAATATGGCCGGAACGACGGAGCTTCCATGATGAAGGACTTGGTCCGATTCCGGCTACCTGGAAAGGCGAGTGCATTGAAGGTGATAATTTCACAAAAGCCAACTGCAACAAAAAAATAATTGGTGCTCGATATTTTACTGCCGGATATGAAGCCCATACTGGTGGAATTAAAGACACTGAAGACATTAAGTCTGCTAGAGATAGAGAGGGCCATGGAACCCACACCACCTCCACCGCTGCTGGTAGAGCCGTGAGCAATGCCTCTCTTTTTGGTTATGCTCACGGCGTGGCGGTGGGAGTTGCACCGAAAGCTCGAATTGCAGTGTATAAAATTTGCTGGAAACATGGCTGCATGGATTCTGATATTCTCGCTGCCTTCGACAAAGCGGTGGAGGACGGCGTCAATATCATTTCAATCTCAGTTGGCGGTGGTGCCGAGCCATATAATGTGGATCCAATTTCAATCGGATCATTTGGTGCTATGGAGAAGGGTATTCTTGTCTCAGCATCGGCAGGCAATGAAGGTCCCAGTAAAATGACAGTTACAAATGTTGCTCCATGGATCACCACCGTAGGTGCTAGCACGATTGACAGGAAATTTCCAGCTGATCTTGTGCTTGAAGATGGGCGGGTGATCAACGGCGCATCAGTCTATAGCGGTCATTCTTTGTCTGAAAAGACATATTTCCCCATTATTTACGCCGGAAAAGCCTCGTCAAATTCGAGTAGCGGTGGTAGACGTGCGGGAAGTTTCATGGCTGCCACTTGCATGGCAAACTCGCTTGACAAAGAATTAGTACGAGGCAAGATTGTGGTGTGTGACAGAGGCGGCACGACCCGCGTTTCGAAAGGTGAAGTTGTCATGAAAGCTGGTGGCGTTGCCGTGGTGGTTGCCAATGTAGCACCCATCGGAGAAGGCCTTGTCGCTGATTCTCATCTGATTCCCGGCCTTGCTATTACCGAATCGGCTGGTCACACTGTTCGCGATTACATAAACTCTAACCCAAACCCAAGAGCAAAAATTATTTTTCGGGGGACCGTAATCGGAGTAAAACCGGCTCCTGTTGTTGCATCGTTCTCATCAAGAGGCCCCAACATCGATTCCGTGTATGTGCTGAAGCCTGATGTCATTGCGCCAGGTGTAAACATTTTGGCTACTTGGCCTGATGGTTTGTCACCGACTGAGCTAGCCATTGACATGCGGCGCACTGAATTTAACATGGCTTCAGGGACATCAATGTCATGCCCGCATGTTTCCGGCGTAGCGGCGCTGCTAAAAGGGGCCCACCAGGACTGGTCGCCGGCAATGGTTCGATCGGCTTTAATGACCACCGCTTACACTCAAGATCTTGACGGGAATCCGTTGCTTGATGAAAGATCTTATAACTTAGCAACAATATACGACATGGGTGCCGGGCATGTGAATCCTGAAAAGGCTGTTGATCCTGGATTGGTTTATGATTTAACTGCGAATGATTACGTGAATTTTCTATGTGCATCAAATTTTACTAGTCGGGATGTCCGGCAGATTGCTAGGAGACCAGTGAGTTGCGGGAAGAAGCAATCTGAGCCGGGGAATTTCAATTATCCGGCAATTTCAGTAGCTTTTGAAGCTTCTGAACCATTAGATTCTATTGTTGTTTCTAGGACAGTGACACATGTTAGCGACAATGCAGCTACCTATGATGTTAGTGTGACAAATCCAAAAGGTGTAATTGTGACAGTAACTCCATCAAAAATGGATTTTAAAATGAAGGGCGAAAAGCAGAGTTACATGGTCAAGATCGCAGCAGAGAAGTTGTCGGTGTCACCGGGGAATTCAGTGGCGGAGGTGGGGAAGATAATTTGGTCAGACGAGCGGCACCAAGTAGTTTCACCGGTGGTAGTGGTGTGGCGACAAGGGTATTAATCTTACCCTTGAATTATGTTATTCAGTTTCATAGTAGTTGCTTTGTGACACCAAAAAGATGTTATTACTTGGCAGTACCGAAAGTGAATGATGCAAAGCCAAATATTGCTATGTTATTATGACTTTTCTATAATGCATATTTTTGTGTTCTATGGTTTAGTAAAAAAATGTTGTAGTCATTTTAAGAATGATAGATATGTGAGTGAAATGAATTATTAGGATAGATATGCTGAATTGGCAAGCAAAATTTAGCAGATGGTCAGTTACAATCTTTATTGATTGGGGTTGGACTTGTTTTACATTTATTTTGATTAGGAGCATATTGCTGCTCCTGATGTTATTCATTTTTTATTTATTTTTTATTTTTTATTTTTGTAGCACAGTATTTTTAGGCCTTCTCTGTATGGACAAAACATTAGGAAATTGGTCGAGGATGGTTTTATAATCAGGAAGCCAACTAAGATTCATTCTTGGTCACGTGCTCACGGAATGAAGGAGACCAAGAGAAAGGGTCGTCACTCAGGATATGGTGTGACGACCCGAATCTTAACGATTTAAGTGTCACTAAATCATAAATTAAAACTAATTTAAAGAATATTCAACATATTCCTATAGATTATTAAAGCACTTACCAAAATTCAAATAATGTAATGAAATTAATAAATTAACTTGAAACGAGAAATATCTTAAAATATTCAAAATCAAATGAAATAATAATAATTTGACAACGTAATAATTTTATTATTGAAACTTTGTCACCATAAGCCATCTCCATGCGACTGTCTCGAACCGTCAATTATCTGAAAGTAGAAACATAATGGGGGTGACAATAATTCTCAATAAGCGTGCATATATAATGAATTCGTATATGTATTTCTAAGAAAAATTCATAATTTGCATATGGAGACGCAAAAATTAGATCGAACTTATATGATGTTAAATTATTGTGTGTAGCGTTACTAAATTTCGTTCCATTCTTAATAAAATATACTATAGACGAAATCTCGTGTATTAAAATATAGAAATCGTTACAAATTGTATTTTGATAAATACAAGTGATGTTGACTTTCTTGTAATTGCAAAATTGTAAAATCCCCTGATTAATTATTTGAATATTTAAAGATGAGGGGTCACGTGGCTTGAATCCTGGTTTTCAATAATTTGTTGAAAATTTGATTTGTCGAGATTTGACTTGTTTGGAACTTGAATCTTGAGGTTTGGACTTGAACTTGAATTTGATTTGATTTGAAGAAGACCTTGATCTTCTTGGACTTGGCATGAACCTGTTTGATTCGAAGAATATTTTAATCTTCTTGGGGTTCACCGAGTTTAGGTTTGACAGAATTTCTTCACTTCTTTCAGCCTTGGGATTTCTTCAGTACTTTATGGCGTTCTCTGCTTTCTTTCTTCCTTGCTTTCTTTTGTCTCGTCTTATGGACCATTGGTCTTATTTATAGGGGAGGATTCGGGTTAATTTTGGTAATTACTCAATTATATTTAATTAAAAGAGATAATTGAGTAATTATGATTTTATTTATTTTGTTTGTTTATTTTATTGTTTGTTTATTTATTTAAAATTTGATATGGGCCTTTGGGTTTTATGGGTTTTAGTAGATTTAAATTTAATTGGGCTAATGATTTAAATCGATCCAATCCAATCCATTTTATTTTATTATTATTTTTATGTCTACAAATGTCCCCTCAAGATTTATTTATTTATTTATTATGAAATAAATTAATAAATCTTGACTTTCAATTTTATTTTGATTTGTTCGATTTCGATTTTTTTTTATTTGCTTCAAACTTCTCATTAGTAAATTAATATGGATGGAAGATTTGAAAGCAAAATGTGAATTTGATAAAATTCTTATCCTTCAAATAAGAATTTCTTTTTTCGAATATTTATTTTATACGATCTATAACAGATTTGCTTTGAACGGGTTTTTTATGTTTTATGGTAAATTGGGTTTAAGTGAAGCCAAATACCCACCTATTTATATGGACAAAATTAAGAAATTTGGACACAAGTAAATTAACTTTACCAATAAAGGTAATTTTTTTTCTTTTTTTTTAACATATATATATATTTTGCCGCAGCAGAAACCAAAAGAATTGATTTCTGCTGCATGGAAACCAAAAAAAAAAAAACAATGGTTTCTGCCAACCATTGATTAATGGTTTCTGCATTTTGCAGAAATCCTTTTTTTATGTTCTTTTTCTATTTTTTTTTTATTATTGTATTCGTCGGAGACAAACTTGTGACAGAAATCAAGTTGATTTCTACCATATTGGCACGGATATATATATATATATATATTTTTTTATAATAACGTTTATTGGTTTCTGTCTACGAGTGCGTTTAATTTCTACGAAATTGTTTAGGAAATTGGTTTTCATTCCTTTTTATTATTATTATTATTAATACGTTATAACCAATTGTTGATTTCACAGCCAATTGGTTTCTGTGCAGAAACCAATTTTCAAATTGGTTATTACGCAATGCATCTTGAAATTTTTTCTGCACTTTGTGACGTTCTCTGCCTTTTTTCTTGCTTGCTTTCTTCTATCTCGTCTTATGAACCATTGGTCTTATTTATAGGGGAGGGTTTGGGTTAATTTTGGTAATTATTCAATTATATTAAATTTAAAAAGATAATTGAGTAATCATGATTTTATTTATTTTGTTTGTTTATTTTATTGTTTGTTTATTTATTTAAAATTTGGTACGGGCCTTTGAGTTTTATGAACTTTAATAGATTTAAATTTAATTGGGCTAATGATTTAAATCGATCCAATCTATTTTATTTTTTTATTTTTTTATGTCTACACATACATAACATGGACCAAACATAACATAGCCGTAAAAATATTACATACATAAACATTAGTCACCATAAACATAAACCACAACTTACATTTTCACCGGACAATTCAAAATGATGAAATGAGTTATTGTTGGAAGAAATCTTTGAGCCGCGTGTGAGGACCGTGAGGTTGATTATTCACGTGTGATTGTATAAGTTTATGGCTATATTTAATATAAAAATGACGAGAAAGAGAGGAAGTGGAGAGACAAAGTTATAGAGGTAGAGAGGGAGAGTGTGTAAATAACTTGAATATGTGTAGAAAAGTGAAACGAAATGGCTAGATGTTAGGCATGATCAATGCATAAATGGTGTATTTTCATGAAAATGGTCAAATCAATACTTTTAATCATGTGGTCAAATCAATTCACTTAACTTAAAACTTGGTGTAAATAATACATGTGATCAAATCAATTTCCTTTACTTATATAGTCAAATCAATTACATTGGCTTGAAATGTAAAGTGAATAATGCATGTGATCAATAAATCATCTTTAATCAAGACCAATTAGCATATTTACCTATATTTTATGTATGATTTCATCTAACTTCCAAAATAACTTTCTACTTAGGCCATCAACTATTGGTCAATAACTAATAATCTCATTAGACTAGACTAATAATCAACAAGAAACTTTAATAATAACGTACTTAAGTTCTAAAATTAAATTTAACTGGTAGTAAAAACTTGGGACGTCACATATGGTATTGTCTTATCACTGTGAGAATATATTCATTACTGTTCCTCCCATAGCTTATATATGATGTTTTGTTGAGAGGTAGGAACACGAGCCTAATTTTCTTAGATGCTTTTTGAACACTGACAGGTAAACGTAAAGGTACCAGGGAGGCTTCTGTGGATGAGGGCTCCTAGACAGAGAGTCGAAGAAAATTGAAGAGCACATGTACATGTACATGAAGTTGAAGTGTAATGTATTCAAGAACAAACGTGTTTTAACGGGGAGTATTCACAAGTCTTAAGGCTGAGAAGGCTAGAGAGGACATTATCCGAGGCCAAGAGAGCAAAGAACAAGGTTAGCAGGGAAAGAACGATTAGCACGGGTGATTGATTGAATATTTCTGTACTTCTGTGTTTAGTATGCCTCTTTGTTTTGATGCCATTCTATTCTATTAATGACATTCGTTGTCAAATGTTCATGGCTGTTCGATCACTTGTATACCTTAAATAACAAAATTTCCTAATAACAGGGACCGGGCGAGAGAGTGAGTGACTTCTTTGCTTACTTCAATGCTTTCAGTTGGTTATTATCTTAGCCGTGCCATAACGTACTTCTAAATTGTCATGAAGGGGAACGAATAAGGCTAAGAATTGAAATATCTTTGTTGCTAGTTTCTAAAGTTGGTAACTCATTGCCATCGAAAATCTTCTGTTAGTTTTTGTGATCTCTGTCCAGCTTTTGGTTTTTTTTGTTTTTTATAGAACTGTATTATCTTTATCTTCAACGAAATGAGGAAGAAATTGAAACTAATTTTGTCGATCGCACTATTTCCAGCCTATGGCAATTTCTTCCCCAAAAAAATAAAATAAAATAAAATTCTATTTTACCAGAAGGTTTTGGGTTTGTTACAGCACGTGTTTGGCAAAGCTCAAATTATTATAATTTAAGTTGGTCAGATATTTTCTATGATCTCTGGGATGTCAAACGGGCCGAGCAGCTCATCGGCTCGGCCGCTTGGCTCATTAAAACTCGGCTCGAGCTGAGCATTGGACTCAATCCCACGAGCCATTTTTTACGAGCCCACGAGCTCGTCAAAAAATGTGTAAATTTACAAAAAAAAAAAAAAAATTAAATTTTTTTTTTTTTTTATAAAAATCATGAGCTCGCGAGCGTGGGCTCGGCTTGTCTCTCACGAGCTTGGCTCGTCTCTCAAAAGCCACTGAGCTCGCCATGAGCTCGAGCCGAGCTCGTGAGTTAAAGGGCCGAGTTGAGCCATCACTAATGATCTATAGCTTATAATTACTTAAAATTACAATTTAAACCCTCCCAACTCCCAAGCATTACCCTTAACGATATGTGGAAGAAGTCGCCCAGATCTCTATTTGGTGAACTCAACAAGAATTTCTAGAAAAATGTAAAAGAATGAATTCTCGCACAGAACCTATAGATGAAAAGCTTATAACATCATCGGACCAAAAGATTAGCAAACAAACGACACAGCGGCAGTAGATTGTATTATGCAGTACAATTCTTTAATACTTCTATATAATCTACCTACTAAACATCACATCAATGGAGAA